AAAACACTTTCTTGGAAATTAATTAAAACATATGCTCATCACTCAGTACCATAAATCAGGGCTATGCAACGACAATAATCAGTTTCAATTTGTGCGTAAAACTGTTTGATATCAGCAGCAACAGCAGACGCAATAGCAAGCGCCCCAGGCCAATTAGCAGGCAAACAGCTAGACCCCAGACAAGAGCAACAGCAACAAGAGCAACAACAACAGCAGCAGCAACAACTACAACTCTTTAACCCTTGTTTGGGGCCGCAATTTGCCGCCACTTGAAGAGGAGCGGGCAACATTTGGTTGCAGCTCATTAAAATGCCGTCGCAATTGCAGTCAAACTCAAAGAAATTAAGCAAAATGCAGCTCGACAAAATCTCATCGATGCGTTGAGGTGGCAACAGCAACAGCAACAGCAACAAACACAGCAACAACTTAGCCCAACTCCCAATCGAGTGCTTCAGGCTTTTCCCTGCTGCTCTAGTTGCCACTTGTCAACTGTCGTCCACTGAGTAATTACACTGAATTAATTGCCCCGAGGCCTGTCACTTGTGCATTGTCTGCTAATTTTTTCCAATAGCAATCGTGCCGCATCCAGCATGCTACGTGCAACGTGCTTTAATTGCAGCCATCAGCACGTGATTAAACAAAATTGATTGTTGCAAGTTTTTTGATTTAATTTAATGTTTTTTTTTTTTTTACTATAAAAAACCTAAACTGAAATCTCATAAATAGCAAACAGCATGCCACGCCCCCTCACGCTCCTCGGCTACTGCAAACACTCACATAAAAAGAAGAAGAAGACGTTGATTTAAAGTGCATGTTTTGTAAATATCTAATTTGATAATTGGTTGTAATTTATGAGTTTTGTCGCTGCTTGTACCAAACATTCATAAATGACGCCTTTTATGCTTCCCAGAACTCCGCACACAGATGCACACACACACCCACACACACATAGCGAACGCACATTAAATTAATATGCAGCTCTGCTTCTTATTTTTTGTTGTTTTTTTTTAATTATTATTTATATCTCTGTCAGCTCATGAGGGAGTTTTTTCATGAATGAAATGAAATGAAATGCAGACGTTGCTTAATGTGGAAGCGAATGAGGTAAGTTTTCTCTTGCATACGTCCTTAAGGATGCAGCAACTTGAGACTGAAAGTAGTGGAAATTAAATCAGCTGAAATTTAAGTAAAGTAAAAAACGAGACCTATAAAAAATGATTAAAAATAGCTTACATATATGTAAGGTAAATTAGATCTATACGAATTATTATAAATACCTATAAAGTATATTAAAAGCTTAAAAGTATGTCTCGTTTCTAATAGTGTTTAGGCATATATGTATATAATTTGAAAAAAATATTTAAATAAAAAATAATTCTAATAATAATTACCAATATATATGTATCTAACCATATTTTACAGTGGCAAATATTGGCTAGAAAACAAAATAAAACAAGAATCTAGCGCATCTTGTATGGAAAAATATTTTTGCTAACAATATTTTCAGTACCATGCGCAACGATATTTGAAAAATTAAAAAGAATATTATGAGCATACAGAATTTGGTGACTACGAAAGTGCACAAGACAAATACTTGACAGATTTGAAAATATAATAATTATATAAAAATATTAAATACTCTTTATTAAGCAAAGAAAATGTAATAAAAATGTTTAGAATTAAAATAATTTATGAATATTCATAAAAATGAAATCTAGCTAAATAAAATAAAATTTAAATTTTTAAATCCACAAAACTCGTAACACAACAGAAAACTCAAAGCAATGGATTCGCCTTCAGGAGCACCCACAAGCCATTTGAGGTTCGATAACACTTTCACAGCCTTGAAAAGGAAATGAGCCGCTGTGACTTGAGCTCAGATTCGGAGTCCCTTAGACATGGTGTCTCCTATTGCAAGGCTATTTGTTTCTGACACAAATTAGCGTCGAGGCAAACAAACAGCCCAAGAAATTAATCATGCTAAAATGTCGTGAAGAAGAGTTCAATGGACGACACAGCCACAGAATGTGACCAAAGGGACTGATCAGATACAGATTCAGCTTTCACCTTTGACGTAATCGGAAACCCAAATGGCGTGGGAGTATCTCGGACAGATGTTTAGGCCGGCTGCCCCGTTCACTAGAGACTGACGCCCGCTAACTTGAATGCATCATTAGTCGACAAAACATAAAAAAGAGAGATGAGTCGAGGGGCGACGCGCTCAAAAAACAGGCGAGTGATGCACGCGACGGAGGATGGCGATGGAAAAGAAGCCGTAGTCGAAGACGAAGTCGGACGGAGTCGTGATTTATGTTGCGTGCGCCTGACAAACACTTGAGAAGTGATGATTTATAATGAAGATGCATGCATTCGTATTAATTAAATGTTTTTCTCTCTCTCTCTCATTTCTTTTCTGCCGGGTGACACGGTTGCGCTCCATTTAGCGTTAAATGCCAGTGGAGGACGACTGCGACTGCGGCTGGGACTCCTACTCGAACTGCGGTTCCAAAAGTTGAGAATCAAATTTCGATTTCTGCATATGAAATGCATTTATTGTTTAGCTTATGAAGCCTCTATAGAATGGGCTGGCTGCAAATTGGTAATTGATTTGGAATGCCAGTGCCAAGTGCCAAGTGCTTTAGATGCATTTGGGTCTCTGTGGCAGGCGGAATTTAAAATATGGCAAGCAATAGTCGAATATTCATTAAGCGCAATTATGAAAATTAAGTTGTCATTTTGATTTGAATGTGGCGGCATGCGCGGCATACGGCATGCGGCATGTGGCATGCGGCTCATAAGCAATATGCTCATTAAATTAAATCAAACTGACAGCCAGCCTGGCTAAATAGATGGGCCCACGATGCACACTTCGCGATTCACTATCCACCATCCACGAGATCTCGCCGATCTCGCCGATCTCCCCATTTAGGCAGCTGCTCTTGGCAGCCCCTCGTTTTTGGCGCTCCTCTCCATAGCTTAGCCGACTAATTAACGTGCTTTCACATAGTTTGCTCAAATTGCGCATGAATAATGAAGACATTATCGCAATGCGTTCGCATAGCCCCCAGACACCCTGTATAATTGGCGTACAGCCAATTGAAAACTATCCTCAGCTACAGGCAATTTCTCAACGCTCTGTCTCTCTCCATCTTTGTCGCTCGCACTATTGCCGTCTCTTTCAGCTGAATTATGTGTTAATAATTTGGAATTAATGAACGCTTTACATGTTCCCCGAAATCCAACCAGACATAGTATATACCCAAAATGTTTCCTGCACGCAAAGTGTGGCTGCCAGCCATGTGAATTGGTAATAAAACTCAAAAAGAGTCGAGTTATAAAGGAAAATGGATTACAAAAAAGAAAATTACAAATGGCTGAAGAAGTTTTTGATACTCCAAATAGAGTTTAGTTCACTGTGCGGCTTACTTGAGCTCTGCTCTTCAGAGCAAGCTCAGTTCTGGGAATGAGAAATGGCAAAATTTTTAGATTTGATTTTTATATAATATAAATTTGTTAAAAATAAAAACTAAAATTAATAAATTATACAAAACTTCGAGAGAACTTTAAGAACATTAAAAAAATGGCTTTATTTCCTATTTTTGGAAAAGCATTAAAAACTTTATGCAGAAATCAAACGTACATTTCGCTTAATGTACTATAAAAAAAAATATTTTGTATATAATTTTAATAATACTATCTTCAACTTAAATATATGCAGAAATAAAAACATATTTTATACCAAATATACTATATGAATTGTTGAAGAAAGTTTTTTACCATAACTTGAGACATAACTATACAACAGCAGTTAGGAAATCTATTTAGCGATTAAAAATTTTAATTATAAAAAAGTTTATTAGTATTTTAAGTTGATTTTAAATAATTATAGTAATCTATATAGCAAATTTATAAAGGGCTAAACTTTAAGCAATAAGTTAACTTTGTTAAAATAAAAGTTATGAAAATTACATAGCAGAGAAATTTATTTAATAATTTATTTTTATAATTAAAGTGCTTTAAGTTTTTAAAATAGAGCTAAGAATTTTTGGAGTAGAAATATATCAAATTTGTGTATAAATTTAAGTTATTAAAATAAAGTTAAAAATTTTTGAAGTTAAAATATATCAAATATGGTATAGATTGTGTATAAATTTAAGAATACATCTAATGTACTCTGCAATTCAGAAGAACTTAACGAGTTAGGCCATACAAAGACTAGACTATAAATATATAAAACAAAAATCTGTTTACTTAACTTTCTAAAATCATGATCATTATTATATAAGCTACATAAAATATTTTTTAAAAAAATGTTAGCACATTATATAAATGTTTCTCCAGTTTAACTGAAAAACTTTCCTTTAAATCAACTTTAACTTTGAATTTGCATATCAGTAAAAGGTAAAATTTATGAGTACATTCATCTTTAGACTATACACAACTAGTCGACACAAGCACACACACTGACACACACTCACTCATACAGCCACAGAGTAATACGCACTTGCTTATGAAATATGATGGCAAACTGATTAAATATATTTAGCAAATCTATCGAAATATTAAATAGCTCGACTTGTTAACAATTAGCCAAAAATGATGACTTTTAATCATCGGCAATTGGACTAAGAACCCAGTAAATAATATTTAAGGAAACACGCATATATCAGTCAGAGATACACATTAAGTGGGCACGCCCATTGCACAGCGAGAGGCTGCGACGATTTCACACATGTTTTATAAATAAACAGATGTGTGTGTGTGTGTGAGTGTGTGCGTGTGTCGTCTTCATCTTCGAGCAGAAGCAGCCCAAGCATTTCTCTTTCTTTCCCATAGAATACAGATCACAGATCGGGCCAACGAAAAGAGCGCGCTATAGAGTCACAAGCCACGCCCACCGTTGAGTTTTGTGTTCTGCAATACGCAGGATACGTTGTATATTCGAAATTCAAATTAGTTTTCCGTAGCAACTCGTCGCGCACTGTTGTCTCTGCTTCCGATCTAGCCAGTGACAAGCCGTGAAGATTCCAATCGCACCAAGTGTCTACGATGAATGCTCAATCCGTGGTGCGTCGTCATCCGCACAGTTTTTCAATCGAGCAAATTCTGGCCAAGCCCGAGTCGCACTTGCCCAGAAACTATGCGGACGAAACGGCTACTTACCAAGTGATCCATGATAGTCAAGCTCACACAAGTGGGCGTGGCAGCTGTGATGATTCGCGCGTTTCGAGCCCAGCGACATCTAGCTGCCTGGAGGATGGCCCGGACGATGGCAAAAGTGATATAGAACTAGCGTCGGATGAAGGCAGTGGTGCGTATATACAAATATATATTGATGTTTGCCAATAGGACAATATATTGGCCGGATGCCCTATACAGCTCGAGCTACTTTAAAATTCGAATTTTTTATGTATGGTTACGTATTTAGAGCATATCAGAAAGATATTTTGTATTATGAATATTGGCAATAGAGAAAACTCAAAACGAAATTTTAAATATCAATCGAAATATTTACCATATATTCCAACGGTATTCTATTTCTAATTATGGCTGAAGTACGAACATCAGGTTATCAAGGCAAAGCCAATGTGCTGAGAAATCGCATTATAGAATAACTGTAACTGTAACTGTAACTGATCATTGCGCTAGCTGCTAGGCCCAAAACTCATCTGATCTTCAGCTATAATATAATGCGAAATCCATAATACAATGCCTATAAAAGTAGTTATGTCTAAAAGATTTCTTTTCTAAGCATTTTTTAAGATCTAGAAGCGCTTTACAAAGGTTGATATTTTCTTTGCAGACAAGTTCCTTGAAGCCGGTTATTAAATTTCTGCATATGAAACGAGAGCAGAGAGTGATTTAAGGCTTACAGCTTAGTTTACAGAACTACTATATCCATTTAATATGCATTGAGGCATTATCTTCTAATTAACATACATTATAATTTATAAAGTAAAGAGTTTAATTTAAAAAGAAGTGGCAGATTAGGGGAAATAGAGACAGAGCCTATTAGACTTAAAATTCATAACAAAAACAAAAATTTACTGAATTTACAACTTTCATGTAAAATAATTCAGATATATTATCTATATGTTATTTGTGTAGTCACCTTACACCTCACACTCTCTATTGTTAAATATGATTAATTGTTGGAATATTTATAATATGGCATCATTCACTAATACGTCTTGGTTGACTGATCTCGTCTGTCATGTGCGCGATCCACAAACAAATAATCCAAAAATTATCTTTTCCGAGGGGCGTCACAAAATGCGCCGGCCGCTAATGATGCAAAATGTTGGGCGGAAAAGCAGCGCCATGGGCAACATTTTAGCTTATCTCATTTTCCGACTGAATGTCACAGAAAATTTATATGACAATTTGTTAGCGATCAGGTGAGGGGGAAAGTCGGCTGCCAAATGGCCAATTAGATGCACTGACCACAATCAGAATGAAATGTTGCCAATTAAAAGTGTTTTGCATACAGGGTGCCATGCCAATTGGTAGCTAATTGGATCGGACGGGCAATTGGCTAATTCAAATTAGTCGCAAATAGTTTGGCAGGCGATAGCAATCGAAATTCCAATTGACATTCCATTCTCAATTGCAGCGCACGATGATCGCAAGAAGCGTCCACGCACTGCCTTCTCCGCCGCCCAGATCAAGGCGCTGGAAACGGAATTTGAGCGAGGCAAATATTTGTCCGTGGCCAAGCGGACGGCGCTGGCCAAGCAGCTGCAGCTGACCGAGACGCAGGTGCACTTAACCTAATCAAGTTGCCAGCTCAATCCTTATACTGATTCGGTATTTTTTTCTTAGATTAAAATTTGGTTTCAGAATCGACGCACCAAGTGGAAGCGGAAGTATACCTCGGACGTGGAGACGCTTGCGTCCCACTACTATTCTCAGTTAGGCATGGGCGGCATGGCACGCCCTATGGTTGTGGGCGATCGCCTCTGGCTGTTTAGCCAAACACCTGCCGGGCCCACGCCCATACAGTCGATCATGCTGAATGGCAGTGGAGCAGCGCCGCCCATGCGCCCATATGGACCGCCGGCAAGTGCGCCGGGCTTGGCCCCGATGCACGCCTCCAGCGTTATGGAGAGTGCCAGGAACGCCATATTGTCGCGTGGACAACCGCTTAACTTTGCACTGCCTTTCGGGCTGGCCAAGCCACAGCCAACGAGCGGGGCAGCTGCAACACCAGCTGGCTATGTGCCACGCTGCAAGCCCTATCCAAGCAGCTTTGTTGACTATCAGCCACATGGCCACAGCGAATCCTATCTGCAGTTGAAGTATGCCACGCTGCCGCCAGAAACGGAAACGAGCCCCAGCAATGGCCTAGCCGAACTGGAGCGCGTCTTTGGCGATGCCAATGCCAATTTGCTGCTGCACAAAGGCCTGCCAGCTGCTAACAGCAGCAGCGGCAGCAGCAACAATAGCAACAGCAACAGCACCTCCTGCAGCTATGGACACGAGGCACTGGCGCAGGCCCAACGCAGTCGCCGTGCCACTCAATCCGAGTCCGAGTGCAGCGACATCGATTGCGAGCAGCTGGACGAAGATGAGGATGCCGTGGAGTAGCCCAATCAAGATATATTTAAATACAATAAAACTCGCTATTAGTTATTATTACAGTTTATGTTTTATATGCATCACACGCAAAAAATATGCTCATATAAATACCTATAGATAGATATATATATATGTTATGTGTTGTCATGTGTTGTTTGTAGGTTGGGGTCGCTATCACTATATGACAGTGGCACACAGGGGACTGATGGCATTCGAATGTGAGTGTGTATAATTGTGTGTTGTTTTACTGGGGTGTCTCTGTCTGTGTGTGCCAGTCATCAGAAATGCTTAAGAGTTAACTTTAACTATGGCTATGCTATGTTACAAGTGGGCTTGTTGTTGGCTGCTCTCTCCTTCTTTCTCTTCTATCTTTTTCAAATTACAAATTACAATTAGATAAAACAAAATCACATACAAGTTATACAAGTTATGCTTAATGTAGAGCTCGATCTGGAGTTGGAGTTGAGTTTAGTGAAACTAACAACTAAACGTCTATTTGTACAGTAAATTAACGCGAATTAGCAGAATTAACATTGCAACAAAGTCAGCGACAGCTGTGACTATATACACATATAATATCTAATACTCTAACTTGTTTCTGGTCGTTGTTTGCTATTGCTTCGGTTACAAATCTTGAGGAGGGGTTTGCGATCTCGGACTGAAACACAAGTGGAGCTGCCTCGTTGCACAGGTATTACAAATTAATATAAATATTTGTATATATATATATGTATAGAAACTGTTGATTTTGTTCTTACATCGTTTAAGGACTGGTTGCGAAAGATTCGTACAGTTTTACACTTACAACTAAACTATGTCATGAGAAAATAATAAATTTAATATATAACCTGTTAGTACTATTTTTTGGTATTGCAAACATTGTTCTTCAACCAAACATTTTGATTCGTTACATGTTGCATTGAGCTGTTGCTTAGGTTCTAACTACTACATAACTAATTTAGTGATGTTAGCTCCATGATAGGTCGTAGCCTTTCCAATTAGCACTTGGCGCTAAATGTACACGTCGCTTATTATAAAAGAACGAGACGATGCCATGGTATGCTGTGCGTGGCACCCCACTCTATTAATTAGATAAGATAAACGTTTACGGATGTCAATTACGAAGGTATAGCTATGTGCTCACTTTGAAGTCGTCCATAAGCCCAAGCATTCGAGTGATACGTTTATATTGATCACGATTGTTGTACTGAATGCGAACAGGGCCCTCCAACGCAATGAGATTTCGACGCAGCTCGTCAAAGGTAACCAAGGGCAGCACATAGACTTGCTTCAAAAATGTATTATCATAGTTATCCTACAAAAGAAAAAACTCATATGTAAAAAGATAACACTGAGAAGATTCGACTAATACGCACTTTTAGTAAATAGCTTATGTCCAATTTGGTGAAGAGTACAAAGTTCTCACTGAGCTTTATATGCTTCAAATACTTGTCGAAAAACAAACCGCTGCAAAAAGAAATCGACAAGCTCAGCAGATATTATATTTGCAGCCACTACTCGACTTACTTTGACACGCCAATTTTTCCGAAAGTGCGTGTGCGTGAGATTTCTGGGCGAATACAAACGCGATCCTTGCGCTGCTCTGGATGCCGGATCCAATCATCCCAAAAACTGTGAAATGCAAAAGAAACATGATTAATAACATTACAGATATTGTACTTTGCATATACTTACGATTTGGGCCACTTGACCGAGAGCTCGCTCCACAGGTCCTTGGTTAGCATCCAGCCCAGGCCGGGAAAGAAATCGGTTCGGTAGAGCAGCTCAGGACTGGCGGTATCCACCACATTCTCCTTACCATTATCATTCCAAGCAGAGACACACCAAAGACTCTTGTCTTGCTTGAGTAGTTTGTGTGTGGCCAAGAAGTATTCAAAGAAATCGGGCGCCACATTCAAATCATCCTCCACAATGACAACGAAATCGAACCCTATTTGAAAGGTAGTGTTTAGAGCCCAGCCATAGTGCCGCGCTATCTTATAGTATCCTTTGAATTTTTTCTCTTTCGGCAAGACCATAATATCGCTCTGATCGGGCTGTTCGATGAGCGTTAGTTGATTGCCAAAGGATTGAATGGCTTGCTTGGTCAACTCATCGCCGCAGTCCTGAAATGGAAAGAGATATTAAATACTTTGCGTTGCTGTGAAATGTCAGAAACTTGCCTGCGATACTATAATGGGAAATTGCTCGACGCTGGGTCGATACTGCATAAGATTCTCCAGACACTTGACCACCGAGATGCGATTGCAGGCAAATACCAGAATGGGTATGACAGGCTCTCCATTTGCCAGATATGTGTTGGTTGGTATTTGCGCTGATGTTGCTTTTGAGGGAACAGCCGTTGGCTTTGGGGGCTGCTCCTGTAGCTCATTCGAGATTTCGGCGGCAACAATTGTTATTTTCGGCGTGGTGCTCGACTGCAGATTCACGTATTTCAATTTCAGAAAACTCACAAGTGTATCAGTCAATTTCAAACTTTTCGACTGCTCCAATAATGTCTTTGGCAACAGCTGCTTCATCTGCTGCTGCTTCTGATTCGTGTCTGTTTGGACATTGTTGTTGCGTAGCAATATGTAGTACGTGATGAATGTCCACATAATGAGGAAGCCAATCACCATAATTTGTACCTTACGTGTACGCATTTTGCAACGTCTGTTTTAATGTTGTTGGTGTGGGGGATTAGGTATTTATCAAGTGTGGTTGTTGTTGTGGTTGTTGTTGTTGTTGTTGTTGTTGTTGTTGTTGTTGTTACTACTTCTCCTTTGGTTCCTCTTTCCAATTAGTCGAGCAGCATCTGTTCGATATGGCTGACACTGGTCGTCTGTTACGTGAAAATAGAAATTGTTTATTTGAAGCGCCAGGTGCGCTCATCTATTGCGTGCTGAATTTATCGGTGGGTTTGGAAGCTTTGTTGTTGCTCGTTTTGCTGTCGTCGATGCGTTGGGCAACAACAGCCCTTGCAACGGCAAAATTTTGCACGGTTGATGCTGCATCGACGGCTGCTGGGGGCGGGTAGTGGTGGCTAGCGATGTTTCTACATTTATCAATTGGATCGCGCGTTACGCACCAGCGCCTCGTTTAACTACCAATTGCGTTGTTGTCTCGCACAATGTGCCAGCCTGGCAAAAAGGTTAAAATAGCGAAAACCAAACGAAAACGCACACGTTGCTTGTTCCTCCTAATTATAAAAACTGTTTTGTTGTCGGATCTGCTTGTGGTATTGTAGGTGAGCACATAAACGGTCACACTTTAACTTCCAGCTGTTTTTTTTTTCAACGTTAAGCAACACTGTCGCTGTTATGGAAGCTGTACAAATCACAATCGTATGTTAAACTTTTGCGCGCGTAATTTCAAAGTTAATTTTTCTGTTATATACAAAATTACAGTTAAGTTGGATTGTTTAATTTTATTAATTCATTTAGTTTTAGTCATTAATTAAATTAGCTTAACAGTTACACTTAGAAGACTAGTAGGTGCTTATTTATAAGACCAATTTAATATCTGTAATCGAAATGTTTATAAGAATCACTGTGTTTGTTGTAGCTGTTGTTTAAGTTGTTGTTGCCGTTGTTTTCCTTAGGTTCCGCTCGCATTAAAATTAATTGTAATTACGTTTTATAAATGGCAGTTACATAAGTATCTATTAGTAGTAGGTAGTACATATATATTGTTTACTTTTTTTATTTTGTTTTTGTTTTTTTAATTATTATTATTATTGCCATACACACACGCAGCTTGAACCTGATTAACAACCAGAACGCCCTCCATTTTGAGATATACAATTTGCCATACTGATTCTCGCGACTATTTACATGAGGCGCCAACACAGCGCAACGACCAACGCCCAAAGGCTAAACATGACAGGCTGTACAGCGGCCGAGCTAAGCTGTCCCAGCTCTCGCTCATCCACAACAAAGGCAGGCACTGCGCTGCTGGCGGGCGTTTGCTCCATGCTGCGGCTCAGCTCTGCAAAGTTGCCCCGACTATTGCGCGCCAAACGCTGATTAGCCAACTTCAGTTCGCGCAGCTTCTCCTCCAGCTGCAGCACCTCATCTGAAATAGGAATGGCAACAATTAGCAAAAGCCAAAATACAAATTTTTTCAACTGTCTTAGGAACTTACTCTTGTTAAAGCCCTCCATGTCATTGACTTGCAGGAACATGGCCAATGAGATCTCATAGACCTTATTCGCAGTGCTAATCTCACGCTTGCGTCGGCCAAAGCCCACCTGATTGTTGGAGCACTGGGTGCCCAGGCACTTATCCAGGCAAACATTGACCGTGGCACGGAACTGCACATACGAGGAGTCGGGGAACTTGAAGGCCTTGAACTTGGCGCTCAATATATCGCCATCGATGGTGTTGAAGTTCTCAAAGAGATAGGGATCCACAGTGCAGCTGCAACAGGGAGAAAGAGCAAGAGAAAGATTAACCAAAAGATTAACACACAAACTAGTTGAGAATAATTGATGCTGCTGCTGTTGTTGTTCGTACGCACCCCTTGAAGATCAGCGTCTCGGAGGAGGTGTGCGTGTCTGTAACATCCAAATAATTGACGCCCAAGCCATAAACCGGCGCCGAGTCCTCATCCAAGTTGATTTCCATGGTCAGTGGTGTGCCCTACGAGCATATTAGTGAACAAAAATAGATGAGAGTGTCAGGTTTTACGTATATGTATGTGTGTGTGTGTGTGTATATACCTACCGACTTAACAGTCAAGTCTTGAGTAAACTTCTGTCCATCCTGGCTAACGCCAATCGAGAGACGCGGCTCCGGTGCGCGTTTTGTCAACGAGGTGGTTATCTCCAGATCTCTGCAGAACAGATGAATAAATAATAATGATGAAAAAAAGAGTAATAAAAAGAGCTGTCGTAATTGAGGGTCTGGGCGTGGCGGTGCCCATTAAATATATGCCGGAGTCAACAAAAAAAAGTAATTGAAGGACACCAGGGCACGTAAATCGACAAAGCAAACATAGTTATGCCACCTCCCTCTCTCTCTCGTCTTACACACTGTATCATTAAGTCCGTTTGTCCAACTGGCACGCCCAGCAATTAAATTGACTAACAGAGGGGAGGCGAGCTGGCTGCATTAGCGGGGGCATTGATTTGATGGCTAATTACCGGCTGGTAATAGCTCGAACAGCAAGTCACTAGATTTATGACCACACAGCCTTGGCCCAGGGTTGGGTCTCCTCTTAAAATGCCATAACGTTTGCATAGATTGCGCATAAAGCAAAAAGAGAAGCTGTATGCATAGTTGCAATTTGAGGACGCTGCATTTTGATGGGGCAATTAAAAGATGCGCCTGGCTTGGCCAAAAACTTACTCTGGTTCCTGAAAGCCCGCCGGCAGCACATCACGTCTGACCAGACCATGATGCGAAGATGGCTGCGGCTGCTGCTGCTCCTGGAGCACCACTTGCGTCTGTTCCCGTGCGGCGTTGGTGCCATTCATCATGACATTGTAAACCGGACCGCTTGTGGTAATGCACTTGACGCTGACAATCTCCTTGCTGCTGGCCGATTCAATGATGATTTTATGGTAATACACCTTTTTGCCCTGTGGTGACAAAACAGCAGGTAAAACAGACTGCAATAGTTAGATTCTCTTTTCCCTCTGCTCCACTCTATTCTGTTTCGCTTTTCTCTTATATTTTCTTTAGCCTTATTTTATTTTCTCTGGACTTCTCTTATTAGCTCTCTCCTTATCTCTTGTATTATCGTCTTCTGTCTCTCCTTTTCTGCTGTGTGCTGTACTCTCTGCCCTCTCTTCTCTATCTCTACTCTGCATATTCTCCCTCCCTTCTCTGTCTACTCTCAGTCTTTCTTCTCTCTCCCACTGCCTCTCTCTCTCTCTCTGCCTCTTTTCCGCTTCTTCTCTGTCTCTTTTCTTCTCTTCTCTATCTCTTCTCTGTATCTTCTCTTCCTCTTCTACTCCTCTATATATTTTCTATATCCTCTCTGTCTGTTCTCCGTCTCGTCTCAGCTTCTTTTTTGCCTCTTCTCTGTTTTTTCTCTATCTCTTTCGGACTCTTCTCTCCTTTCGCTTCTCTCTCTCTCTCCCCGCTCACTTCTCATCTCTTCTTAGTTTTCACGTACCGTTAACTGATTGACCATTCGCGTCACGCCGCACTCGTAAAAGTCGCTAAGCGATAGACGAAAGACGGCCAAAGCGCCATTGATTTCGGGCTGACAGCGCACATCCGGATAGCCCTTGAGACCCTCCAAGTAGATCTGCGTACGATCCGCCGCAGCGCTGGCATTCGTCTCCGCTGGCAAGCCAATCTCGACGCGCATCTGATCCTCGGAGCAGTGTACCTTGTGTGCGCCTGCAAAACAATCGAAAAAGAATGCAAAATGGAAATTAAATTGCTGTCTGCATAGACTACCGAGGAAAGTGGGCTAGCATGTCGCTGCCAGTCGCATGGCCAGAGCTGAGCCAAATACGACGCCTGGCTGGCATGTCCAGGCAGCACTAAACAATTGACGCATAATTACTATGGAAGTGGAGCGCGTTCGTTGCCTAAGTCTTTCGTTTTTATTGCCGCGCTTCATAAAGCTGCAGGGCTGCTTTTGATGCCCAGCACAAGAAACACCAATGCGAGTATATTGAAATGCAGCCATGCAGTTGCCTCGGCAGTTAGCCAGTGTAGCTCTCAGTCTATATAACACACATATATACATAGACAATGTCTTGGCTGCAGTCCAGCCTTAGCTGCAGCCGGTCAGCTCGTCAGAGGCTGTCAGGCTCGTCTAGATTCGAGACACACTCACACACTGCTTTGGTTTAGTTTGTGGCTGTGGAGTGTTAGGCTTTTGGCATAATTTTGATGCTGTTGCTGCCGCTGCTGCTGCTGCTGATGCCTGTTGCTGCCATAGTAATCAAAATCTTATTACACTTTGTACATGTGTGGGGAGACGCTGTGTGATAGACTTAAATGCTGTTGCTGCCCCCCAATCCGATGCGATAAAGCCTTCATTTGCGGACTGATCAGGAGCGCATTTGCCGCGTAATTTGAATAATTTTGCCAAAGTGCTTAAAACTCGTTCTAATGGCAGCACGAGGCCAGGCATTACCAAAACATTTCAACAGAAATGCCCCCCAATTAAATGTGAGTTGTACAACAAAAGGCAACAGCAACAGCAAAAGCAGAACAAACAACAGACAAAGCGAACAATGGAAACAATAAAATCAACAAAAATTAGCCGAAAAACCAGCCACAGAATTCTGTGTAAAGTCAAGAGCCCGAACTAAAGAACTGTGCGCTGGGTACAGAAATTATATGATATATATATATAATTATGTATATATATATGGACGAGAAATGATATACAGAAATTATATGATATATATATATAATTATGTATATATATATATGGACGAGCTTCCTTCATATTCAGCTCTTCTTTTTACTTAGAACCAAAAATGTAAACGTAAATCACACTTAGTCATAATTTTCTTTAAACATTTTAAGCGCAGCTATAAAGCATCTATAAATGTATAAAATATATCTAAATAAATTATTTATATATATAATATTTATATACATATATATAAACCTTTTTATCAACCCCCATTGCCTAGCTAAATGTCGATTAGCTTTCAAGCTCTAGCGCTTCTGATTTTTGAAAATATGTCAAGTTCGGCATATTTTCAGTATATATAAAAAGCGCACAAATAAAAAAATAAAACAATTTATATAACAAGTAAATTTAATTTAATTTCAATTTAATTTTAATTTAAAAAATAAAAGCACGAATCAGCAAAAGTTCAAAATAATAAAAAACGTTTAGTTATTACCCATAAGCCAAATGTTTTTTATTTATAGAGCAGCTGAATTTTTTTATTGAATTCTTTATTTAAATAAATAACTAGCTAAAGTTTAGTTTAAGTGAGATTAAGATGCGGCAAAGGCTGCCTCGTTCAACGTATCTCAAAGGCATTTTCTATAAAGTGAAATTTTAAGATATAAACTAAAATAATTAAGTCAACTACTGTTGAGAGCTAGAGCGAAACAAGAGTTAAAAATAAAAATAAAAATATCAGCCAAACTATGACAAATTGCTGTGGCAACCCGTGCTTGCCATTGGCACGCTGCTGCAGCTCGATAATGAGAGAAAACAAACGCTTAAGTTTGGCATTAATGAGCTGGCGAGAGCAAGAGAAAGAGAGCGAGAGAGAGCGAGAGAGAGAGTGAAACCTGACAATGAGAACAGACAGACAATAAAAACTAGGAAATAGAAATTGCAAGGCAATTAAAAAGCGGCAGCTGCTGCAGTTGCCATTGCCATTGCCATTGCCATTGCCATTGCCCACTTGGTAATTCAAGAGGCGGCGTCAAGGTGGGCGTAATGCAAGCGGCGCCTAAAACAATTACTAGAGAAACACAAGCAGAGGAGGCAGCATTCGGCGCTTAAGTACTTCCGCGGCTAAACAAATAAAAGCCAAGGCAGACAGAGGCCTAAGTGCCCGATGACACGACAACGACCCATTGATTTATAAAAGAAACTGGAACTGCAACTGCAAATGGACACGCCCACGTGAGCCCACATGTTGAGCAGTTAATTGAGCCATGGTAAGTCTCCCTCTATCCCTCTCTGTTTGTCTACATCTGCAGTCAGCAGGAAATGTTGTCTGCAGCTCGTGACAATAATTGAAAGCTGCTGCTCAGCCCTTGCACGTTCTCAATGTGTGCTTGCCACGCAGGTTTGTCGCCTAAGTCTTTTGATTTGCAGAGACACCCAAGGCTGGCTTTAATTGCAAGCCAAGGCATTTTTATTGAATTTTTACAACTTTACTCGTAAGAATCGCATTATTGACTGCGACTATATCAATGCCGACTGATTACGATTTATCTGACACAATTTTTATGGCACGGCTTGGCTTGGCTTGGCTTGGCTTGGCTTGACTTGGCTTGGCTCGTGGGAATCTTGTTGTACCTTAAACTATTTCTACACACACACACACACACATACATTTATATAAAATCTATATGTACTTATATCTGTAAAAGACTTAACCCACATCTCGCACATGACCAGAGCCGAATGGATTTCTTGCCTTTTTTTGGCGCTTGTTAGATATGTGTTAGCTACAAGAGGCAATTTGTGTGGTGCAACGAAACGAAACAGATCATCAAATGCCGCTTGACTGGGGCAGCTTCAAGCTTCTTGGAATCGAAATCAAAAGAAAAAAAAAAAACGGAAAAGACTTGCCATTAGCATTTAACCTGCAACATGACAAATCAAGAAAACGTGCAGCATGCATGCAACATGCTTCAGCTCAGACATTTTGGCCTCGGCCGCAGCCGCAGCCGCAACTTCGGTTAAAGCATAAATTTCCATTAACAATAAATTTAAAAGAAATTACATTAAAATGAAAATGACCCGGAGCGAAATTCTCAAGAAAAGCTGAGCAGAGAACGGTAACAGGAGAGTCGAAGCGAGCGGTGGCAGGGCAAGATTTGGGCAGCTGGGCTGCTGCAAGAGCAACATCATCAGCACCATCAACATCAACACGGCCCACGGCCCACGGCCAGGCCCATCGCCGACTATGTCACTGACACTGTCTACCAAATTCCGACTCCCGACTGTGTCTCCCGAACTCCTGTCTGCTGACTTCCTATCCGGCATCAGCAGCCACGACATTTGGATGCACAGTTTTTCAACAATTTGGCAAGCAAATGCGCGCGCACCATCAAATGAATGCACAAATCAATAAGACTACAAGCTAAAAGAGCTTGCTCGACTAGCAGATGCGCTGCAATATTTACAAAATTTTAGACAAATAGAACTTAGCTGGCCTAAACTAGTTGCCTTCGACTAGGTGCTGACTGCGCAAATGAACTTAACTGAACAGTAATAAGTGAATTTATGACTAGCATATACCTTGGAATATTTACAATTTACATAATGTTAAAATAATGTTAAAACAATGTTAAAATAATGTTAATGTCTTACATAGATGACTGGAGATGTAAAATGACTACAAACTCAATGAGAGTGTGTTGGACTAGTTGATATATAAGGGTATTAAGGAAGCGTAAATATATAATAGAGTATATATATATATTTATATAGAAAACTGAACAATAGATCAGTTAATAAACTAGATCTGATGCCTGGAAAGTTAAATTGCATATGGAGAAACAGAGATTAGTTCAGGTCCATTTTCTGCCAAGCTCCTTTAGCTCGCTGCCTTATCTGGCATAGCTGAAACAGATAAATTCTATAGGCATTGCTGCCATTTAGCGGATACGCTCGGTTACCCTCTCAGCAAGCTCTGCCAATGCTTTGCTTAAATAACCATTGTTTCCGCTGAATATAAACTGAATTGTCAAAATCTGAAGGCGCTCAACATTCAACACGGTTTGAGTAACAGCGCAGCAACTCAATCACACTAACAGGGTATGTTGAGAGGAAGAGCATAAGTGGCAAATGCTTTACAAGCCACGCCAATAGTCAAAGCCAACAAATTCAAAATGATTGCCATGCAAATGGCATCGTTTTGCAGCTAAGAAGCCAGTCAGTCAGTCAGCCAGCCAGGCAGACAGACAGACAGATAGGCAGTCGTGAAAGGTGGCAAGACATCATCCAGCATCTCTCAGCACCTAAGCGTTAGTCAGCCACCCGCAACACTCCGCACCACAGCGCACCACACGGCACGTTGTCAGGCAATTTTTGTGTCCCAAACACCCCCCGCATCGCAATTGTTTCAATGGCCAAGCCCAACAGGCGCGCTGTGTGGCGACGTTCAACGACATGGACATTGGCGTCGTTGTTGTTGCCGTTGCCGTCTGCATTGCAAGTGCAATTGCAATCGGCAATTGGCAATTGGCAATTGGCTGGCAAAGATTATGCAATTGTCTGAGTCAGCGAACGGAGTCACGTTTGCATTGGCTGCCAAGTAGAAGGAGCTGCAGGTCTTCTTGCGTGTTTCTTATATATATATAGTTTTTTTTTTGGTCAAAGTGTTATACCTGGCGGCTGTGCAGAAACGTAAATTGAATGCACAACGAACGGTAAACATGCATGTAAAGAGCTGCCCCCCACACATACACAGAGACAGACAAAAAGCTAGTCAAAAGTTGTGCATTAGCATCAATCCACGAGTGACTCGCACAGTTATGATGCAGCTGCTGCTGCTGCGGTTGCTGTTGCTGTTGCTGCAGCTGATAGCGTTTTGTTATCGCATTTTGCAAAACAAATTGCAGCAGCAACAAAAGCAACAATCTTGACACACACGACGCACGATTATCATCAATCTTGGCCATAGCACAGGAAATACAGGTAATTTACTAGCCGGAGAGCGGGGCTGTCCCCCAGTCAA